GGGGTGGGGTGGGGTTGGGGGGAGTGGGGGTTTGGGGAGGTGAAGATGAAGTTCAAAAAGCGGAGGAGCCCCGCTCATCCGTCCCTCCCCCGTAACCCTCCCCCTGCCCTTAATCGGGCGACGCGTGGAAGGTTCACACACCGCAAGAAAAAAGGAAAACAACAAACGTTCCGTGACCACGTCGCAACCGACAACAGCGCATCATTAACCGCGTCACAACCACCTTCCTAAACACGCAGCCGTACTCGCATACCTTTTTCGCGATGATGGAATCCAGTACGGGACCGTTGAGACGCATGTCGATAATGTCCTCCACCTGCCATTAACGGTGTTGGCGGTTGGAGCGGTAGTTGATTTGCAGTTGCATCAGTTAAGTCGGTTGGGGATTATGAGTGGGTTTCTTTTAGTCCATATCCTTTCCAACCCCTTCCCTTCTTTCAACAGTTTTCAAAGTTCTGCTCCCCGCCACCCTGTGTTTTGGGCCCCCACCTCTCCCCTTCGGCACCCCCGCTCCCGCCCTTCCCCCCCTCTCTTCCCCCCCTATCTATCATCTCCCCCCCTCTCCCTCCCCATTACCTGAGACACGGTCATCAGTCCCGCCCTTCTCGCCTTCTTCGACATCTCCGCATACTCCTCATGCAGGGAGGACATGGTGGCGCGGAGCCGGGCGAGATCCGCCTGGGCGGGGGGGGGGAGAAGGGGGGTTTCAATACATACACACATGCACACGCACACGGGGAAGGAGTTATAACCTCTAACCGCTCCCCGGCGCTACCACGGCAACAGCAAAACCTTCTCGCCCTGTCACCTTCAAGAGTTTCCCCCCAAACCCCCGGCCTAAACAATCCTTAGCCTCACGGCCACACACGAAACACACACGCGACCAACCACATACAAACTGTTACCCCCCTCTCCGCCAAACGTAAACTCCACCTTCTCTCCCCTCCAACCACTGCAATTACGTGCCAACATAATTATTCATTCCCGTCATCCCTCTCTCCATGTCCCCCGTACCGTGTCGTACCTTTTCCCATACACACTACTCCACCCGTGCTTGCACACCCCTGCACCCCAATCCCCCGCCCCCCCTTTCCATCACCACATACACACACCAACCCCTCCCCCATTCCCCGTATCCCCCCCATGTCGTACCTGGCTCGTACACAGCATGCCGTCAATGGCTGCCCGAAGCTCCCGTGTCACGCCCGCCACGGATCGGCTCCTTTCCGACTCTCCAGCCAGACCCGCCTCTAGCTGCATGACCCGCTCGGTCAGGGCCGCATTGCGCCGCTCCACCTCCGCCATGTAGTCACGGATGGTGCCAACCTGCGTGTGGGTTTTAGTTAGGGTTTTAGGGGTTTAGGGGTTTAGGGTTTCATACATGTGGGTTCTTTTAATACCGGCAAGCACATTATTTCGGTTAGCGGTCATGCCGGCTGTATACCGTGCACAGGGTGCTGCGTAAGTGCACACGTGTATGCGTGCGTGCGTGTGTGTGTGCATGTGTGTGTTTGGGGGGGAGAGAGAGTCTGCACGGCCAATCCCTCCCGCTACCCCCCTCCCCTCCTCTCCCCTCCTCTCCCCTTCTCTCCCCTCCTCTCCCCTTCTCTCCCCTCCTCTCCCCTCCTCTCCCCCTCACTCCCTTCCCTCCTCCTCAACCCCACCCCACCCCTCACCCCCTCCAATGCCCACCTGGGCCGTTTCATCATGCAGCAATTCGAACTTGAGCCGCTCACCGCTGCCAGCTAGGGCGGTCTGCGCGTGTGTGTGTATATGGGGAAGGGAAGAGGGAAGGAGGAGGGGGGAAATATACATGCAAAAAAGAAGAGAGGCGTCA